GACGTCCCCTCCCCGGCCGGAGCGGCTGCTACCGCTACTACCGGCTTCGTTTCCCCTTCTTCTGCCGGTGTTGCATTTGCAGCCACTGCCGGGCCGGGTCCTGCATTCACTCCCGGGCCAGGTACGGTTCCCGCCGCCGCCATCACTGCCGCCTCCCAGACTTCTCGCGAGAATACTGTCTGCGTCTCGCGCGAGTTGCTCACTGGCCCTCTAACCTTCAAAGAGTAAAGATTCTCAGTGAGTACACCGCCTGCCAAGGGAAGGCGCGCTCTAAGCCCGCTTTAAGGTCGGGAGGGCAGACAGAGGTGGGCGGGGCCTCGGGGCTGGGTAGCTACAGACCGAGCCACGTGAAGGCGGAGGAGGTGAGATTACTCGTTGGATTTCCTCTAGGACTCACTTCATTTCAGGGTGGACGCTGCGGATTTTCGTGACCGGGACGAAATCACCGCGCAGATGAGGCGCCTTGAGAGCGCTGGCAGCCTAGAGGCTTTGAACGCTGTGATGTGCATTGCAGACGTTCCTCACCGTTAGACGTGGGAAACGTCTTCCCGCCCCAGAAGTAGTTTGTTGTACTGCCCTCGTGATCTGCTACTTTGAGCAGGTTTCCTAGGGGCGTCTAGAGATGGGCGGCTTAGTTTTGTGACTTTAAAATTAATTGAAAATTTAAATCAAAAAAGTAATTGGGGAATTCCGTGGTTAGGATTCGGCGCTTTCACTGTGGAGGCCCAGGTTTAATCCCTGGTCAGGGAACTGAGATACCGCAAGCTGCATAACACAGCCAAAACAAAACAACAACAAAAGTAATTGGTAATAGATCACCATGTGATTTGGCATAGAACTTTGAAGTCGTTGAAAGAATTGAGTTGAACTGATTTCTAAATGGGAATCTGCTTGTTTATGTAAACAAAGGTTGTCAGCTCTTACATCTATAAACACGAAAAATAGGAATAGAACTGATGCTGAACTTGTCTCATTCTAGCAGTAGTGATATTCATGGATATATGTATTAATTAAAAATCTAATCCTCAGTCTCATTAAGAATTGCATCTCTAATACAATTTTAATTTTTATGTTTAGTAATCAAAATGTATACTATGTTTATTCGATCAGTTGTATACTGATAACTGACTGAAGAAATATTTTAACACTAGAGATTTATGGTCACAGAAAGTATATAAAAATTTAATTTCAACTTTTATACATATTTTTATTGCAGAGAAGTATTTAGACTTTAGTAAAAAATAGATATATACACATATGTATTACCTATATATTTTTATATGTGGGTGCATATATATATATATATATATATATATATATATATATATGTTCCATTTTATCTTATGAAGGAAGAACAGAAATAAGATGATGTAAAATTTCCAGCTATTAAAGAAATCTTGTTCATGTATTTTTGTTTTTTGTTTTTTTAAGTATACTCTTCAGTGGTTTTTATTTATTTTGTTTTTTAAGATTTTTTTTTTTTTATGTGGACCATTTTTTTTTTTAAGTCTTTACTGAATTTGTTACGATATTGCTTCTTTTTAGGTTTTGGGTTTTTGGCCGCAAGGCATGTGGGATCTTAGGTCCCGGACCAGGGATTGAACCCGCACCCCCTGCATTGGAAGGCAAAGTCTTACACTGGACCTCCAAGGAAGTCCCTGTTTTGGGGGGGTTTTTTGGCGGTACCGCATGGCTTGTGGGATCTTAGTTCCCCGATCAGGGATTGAACCCAGGCCCTGGCAATGGAAGTGCCAAGTCCTAACCATTGGACTGCCAAGGAATTCCCTATATCTTTTTTTTTTTTTTTTAATGCCAGTAGTGACACACTAAATTGATTTGATGACCCAAATTTGAAAAACACTGGTATAGAATTGTTTTCAAAGGGCAGTGGTCTGGGGATTGAACCCTGGACAGCATCTGCATTTGAAGTGAAAGTCATGAATGATCTGAAACCAAGTCCCCCTAAAACCCTTACTGAGTTCCCTTACTGAATTTATGATTAATCTCTCTATCCAAAACTTCATTCCCTTTCTTGTCCCCTCTGACCTCAATTCCTTGTTTACTGAACAGTAATCAACCAGAGTCAGATGATTAAAATTGCTGTGGTCAGTAACATCGTTAATGTACTAAAATTGCTGTTATAGACATCACCATTAACTTACACACTCAGATTGTTTCTCCAGGGCAAGATGAGCTAATAGACCCTGGCCACAGAATGTAAACCAGAGACATTCTGACTGTTGTGGCCCCTCCCATTGCGGAGCACAGGCTCCGGTCGCGCAGACTCAGCGGCCATGGCTCACGGGCCCAGCCGCTCTGCGGCATGTGGGATCCTCCCGGACCGGGGCACGGACCCGTCCCTTGCGTCGGCAGGCGGACTCTCAACCACTGCGCCACCAGGGAAGCCCAGAACCAGTGTTCTTAATCACACTGTGAAATGTCACAAGACAGTGTTTAATCCCAGCCTCTTTGTTCTTCCCCTTTAAAACACCCCAGACTCAAAGACCAAGTTGGAGAGTGGATCGGCAGCTTGTCTCCCACTCCCTCATTTGGTGCCCTGAAATAAATGCTGTATTTTCCTTCACCACATCCTGGTGTTGGTAGATTGAATTTGCTGCACGTTTGGGCAGCAGACTTAAGTTCAGTTTGGTAACATTCATTTTAAAAGTCCTAAATGATTTCAATGGAGTAATAGAGTGGTGGGGGCAGAATTCACATTGCAATGGATTTGAGAAGTGAATAGAGGGCTGGAAGTAGAAATAGCTGTGTAGACAAATCTTCCCACCTTTTTCCTGAGGCATTTTACCTCTATAAAGAGAAAACCTGAGTCAATAGGGCAAAATGTCAACATCTGCTAAATTTGCTAGTCTGTTGCATGATGTCTTGATGTCTCATGGCAGAAAGAATTCAGTGAGAAACAAAGTGATAGGTAAGAAGTGGATTTATTTAGAGAGAAACACACTCTGCAGAGTGTGGACCATCTCAGAAGGTGGGAGTGGCCCCCAGGGTACAGGGTTGTCAGCTTTTATAGGGGTGGGTAATTTCATAGGCTGATGAAAGGGAGGACTATTCCAAGTATTTTGGGGAAGGGGTGGATATTTCCAGGAATTGGGCCACCGCCCACTTTTTGACCTTTATGGTTGGCCTTGGAACTGTCATGGCACCTGTGGGTGTGTTACAATGAGTCTATTCAGAAGCTCAAGGTCTAGTGGAAGTCAACTTGTCCGCCATCTTGGACCTCTTTGGTTCTAATTAGTTTATGTCATGTCCCTGGGCTATGTCATTCTCTTAAGATTGTGCCCTGCCCCCTTCTCTCCTGTTTTAGTTCCAGCAAGGAACCGGAACCTGTGCCATCAACATCAGGTGTGAGTGAAATTGCAGCTTGCCCTCTGTTTCCTATTGCTGATGACCCTTCAGCTCTACCATCTCTCACCTCCACTCCCTCCTCCAGTCAGTAACTCTTCTTTTTTTTTAAATAAATTTATTTATTTTTGGCTGTGTTGGGTCTTCGTTGCTGCACGCAGGCTTTCTCTAGTTGTGTTGAGCAGGGGCTGCTCTTTGTTCCAGTGTGCGGGCTTCTCGCTGCGGTGGCTTCTCTTGTTGCCGAGCGTGGGCTCTAGGCCCGCGGGCTTCAGTAGTTGTGGCTCGTGGGCTTAGCTGCTCCATGGCATGTGGAATCTTCCCGGACCGGGGCTCAAACCCGCGTCCCCTGCATCGGCAGGCAGACTCTCA